GCCGAGCCTAGTTTAAAGCCTGTTGGAGGAGATCTGCCAACCTAGAAGAGAACACACGCTTACCTTTAGGGGAAAGGTGGAGTCCATCCGACCTGAGCATGTCTCTCGTCATGATGTGTGGGTCATTGTCAAGGAAGCCAAAGCCCGCCTCAAGATGAGGATGGAAAGTAAAAGCTGGTACAGGTGGGATGTCACTTAAATTTCTCAAAACCCACGTTGAGGCTTCCTGAGAGTCCCCCAAGAACTCAGATGCCAGATCCCACCACAAAGACCCCTCCAGGGTGGAAACCCCCCTGCTCAGTCTTGAGTGCCTACAACATGCCAGGCATGGCAAAGAGTTATCATGTGGAGTGATATCCAGTGAAGGAAAGCATCTAGGAAGGCTTTTTAGGCAATATGGGTTTACTCTGCCTATACCTTCCCCCAACCAGCAGCTGTCCTGCATTCATAGGGCTCAGTACCATCACTTGTTCAGTTTTGGAAACCCAGAAGGGGCTTCGATCCAAGGTTTGTGAATCGGAGCAGGCTCCTTCCTAGCTTATGGAAGAAAACTGCAAGTAACTGGGGTTTGTGCCTGAAACAGCCTTGCTGGGGGTAGGACATCTTCATTTGAAGCTGCAGTAGCCCAGCTAGTGCAGAAGAGCTTTCTACCAACCCATATCAAACCTCTAACTCCTGGGCAAGCTCTCCACGGTGCTAGCTAGAGGCTGGCTGTGAGCTTGTTTAAGCTAATGTTTTGGGCCAGTTGTACCCATCATCCTCCTGGAACTCTATGCTGCATTGGACAGCGTTAAGAGAATAGCATCCATGCAGCACAGCCAGGCGTTACGGCACACATTATTCACCAGCACCCCAAGACCCCCGCAGACATGCGTGGCCAAGCAGACGATCACACACGTCGCATCTTCCTCCCAGCACGGGGTACCCTACAGCAAGGGGTGTCTGTCCAACTCGCCTTGTGCCCCAGGCTGGATCTGAACCCGAGGACTCCCGGCAGGCTAGATCAAGCCTGGGGCATGAGGCAGTGGTGGCTCCAGCTCTGGTATGGGGCACGTGTTGTACACACCCCCACTCCTCGAATGCCTTATGAGCTTCCTGAGGATTAAACACAGGAAGGATTTAAAGGTGCTGCCTCATGCCAGAGCTGTCATTGGAGTTAACAGCAGGATGCACCAGCCTGTTTGGGGACTGGGGAAAAAAAAATCTTAGTCCAGCAGGTAGGAACGAATTCCCTCTGAGATGTTTTCCAGACTTGGCTCGGGACGTGCACCAAGCAAGGTTTCTCCAGGTAGGAGTGCAGGCTGCAGAGAGTTACGTTTTATTCCTATGGCAGCTTTTCCCCTCACCGCTTTCAAAATCCAACCAGCATCTGTTGCTCTTTTTGATAATGCTGCCTTGGCTAATGCAGCTCTCTGGGAAGGAGAGGTTATTATGACAATCTGCTGGAGATCTCTGCTCCCAATCCCCGCTGCTTCGTGCCCAGTGCCTGGTTAGTTTGGAGAGGGGGTGCTGTCAGGGTTGCTGACGGCTAGTGCCTCTGTCTGGAGCAGCAGGGGCTCACAGATACAAACTATTATTCATTTTTCTAATGAAAATACTGCTTTTAGCATGTCCGCATTGTGTGGGTCCTCCTCCCATTTCAGAACCAAAGACTGGGTGAAGTTAGGGGCCCGTCTTGCTCAGTCCCACGCTGGGGACTACACCGTGTCCAAAGCCTCCTTAGACCAAGCTGGCCGGGTGTGCTGACGACCCGCGCAGATGGATGAGCTGACGTGGTACTTGTACACCGCCACGGCAATCCCGGTTCACTAGGAGTTTTCTGTAAGCCGGTACCTCCCTGTATTTTTTGTCCAGGGAGTAACAAGGCCTTCATTTCTTGCCCCGACCTGTCCCGAGCTGTCAGCAGGGCTGCTGTGGAGTAAATGCAAACCTATGACATCCTCTGTGTCTCTTGTTTACCTGCAGTAGTCACACAGGGCAAGGGGTAGCAGTGCAACCCCCCCCCCCCCAATGTATACTGCTATGCCAGTGTGTCCCCTCGCTGATGCAGAGAGCGGTTGTAGGAGATGGGCCTATCTTTCTACCAAGGTGCTTAATTGTGGCAATGGATTTGGACTGAAAACTGCCTCTAGGAAATAGCCGGAAAGCCTCAGCTTGAAGCAGGGCCCCAGCAAATTGTGAGCTCTTCTGCCCTGGGGTCAAAAATCAGCCTTTGGTACATTTTCAGCTGCTGGGTGAGTGGCGAGGAGAGGATCTGGACTCTGATGTGTGCTGCAGCCTGACCCCGGGGGTGGGAGATCACTGACCAAACAGGACTTTGTCTCCTGCCCAGAGCTGATTATTAGGGGCTCGAGATTTGTGGCAAGCAAACACGTACGGCTGGCTCCGGGACACAGGAGCCCTCGGCACGACCCGTCTGGAGGCAGGCTTTCTGCGGGGGTGTTTCCCATAGAGCAGCTTGCGTGGGCTGGGATACGGGAACCGATGGGGAAGTGGTAACAGCTCACGGAAATGGATGGAAATGCATTGACACGGGGATGATTTTTTTTTTTGTCTTTGCCAGGTTACAGCCAAGACTGCCTTCATATTTATCTTACCTCAGTACAACATCAGCGTGCCCACCGCAGGTAAGAGTATCCCCCACGCCGCCGCACTGGGCGTAATCTCCTCCTCTGGATCTCGTCCATTGGTGCCGCTGACCCTCACTGCTAAGCAACCAAGGCTGAATGGGGTAGTCTCACGTTCCAGAGACTGCCGCGGCCTGGGAGGCTTTCAAAGAGCAGAGGAGCCATTTCCAAAAAAGAGAAAAAAAAAAAAAGTCTGTTGTTGCAGAACAGCTCGGTTAATACGTCTAAAGGCTGCTGAGTCTTGTGCTTCAGGGCAAAAGCTTATCCCTGGTTGGGATCAAGAAGGAATTTCCCCTCCTGGTTCAGAGGATTTATAGTGCCTCTTGCTTCTTCCATTGCACTTGGCCAGACCACCTGCTGCACTGTACAGCATAACACTCCCCACCCTCAGCCTCTTAACGTTCGAACGGGAATGAATTGCCTGATTACGTGCCTCGGATGCTTTGCTTCTCAGTCCTGAAGCCTCTGGTCTTAGCTGCTGTCTCAGTGCATTAGGCTGCATGGGCTACTTTTCCAGTAAGGCAATGCCCAGCATTTTAATTGTCGATGATGTAACTAATAATTGGGTGGGAGACAAGTAACAAACCCATTGGTGCATGCTGCAGTTTCAGGCAAGCCACAGCAGGGCCCTGCTGAAAGAAATACTGTGCTGCCTCTCCGGGTTAGTACATCGGTGGGACAAATCGGGTCCCATTGCACTTGGCACTATATAGACATAGGTGAAATGCCAGTCCCAGCTCCAAAGAGCTTCCTTTTCAAGTATCCCCTGGTCAGTGGTGATGGAGGAGATCTTTTAGGCTGTCTTGCCCAACACAGGCTCTCTTGGAAGGATCTTTTCCTGTGCTCTGTTCAGTCTGGCTTTCATTATCCTAAGCAACCATCTGTCTGCCCTAGTCTTTGGGACACAGACTAATCCGCTTGCAAAGGAAAACCGGGCGGTTGCTTAGAGAAGAGGAGCAAGGATTGTTAGAAAGGATGGACTAGCTATAATTAGGTGGAGTTAAGCTTTCCTCATCCTAAAGAAGGCTAAGAGGGAACTAACTTGGGAACCCTTCAGGCTAGCAGTCAGAGGCAGAAGAAGAAGGATCTGGGAATTTAAAGCTGCATGTGTTCAGACTAGAAATATAGTGCACGTTTTTGACAGTGTAGGTGTTTAAACATCAGAGCAAGTTTAGCCCTGGTTCTAGGTGATTCTCCATCCCTAGCAACTTCTCGGATCCAGTTTTAGATCCCTTTCCTACAAGGAACGTTCCAGCTCACATTGACCATTCATCATAAATGGAACAGAAAATGAGCAATAACTAACAAATATAAATACAGGTGCTGGGCATTTCTCTTTCACTAATTAACACTTAGCTCCCTATATTAAGGGACCCATAGCATATTCACTCACCAGACATAATACAATTGAACACAACTTATTTTAACTCTTAGTTTCCCTTGCAAATTAGCAGTTGTTTTCTCCCTCCTGTCCATTAGAATGGTCTCAATCAAATATAATGTTGTTTTACTTGTTATTCTTTTTAAATACTATAACAAGCTTTTGGACATGAACTGGGAATTCATGCAGGCCCTGTGTTCAACAGTACGTCAGGCTAGCTATATGGTCGTGATGGTGTCTGCTGGCCGTAACGTGAGCCTGAAGTGATGAGTGAAGGTGCAGAGACCGGCCAGCAGCAGGAGATTAGCACTGAAGAGGAGGAAGAAGCTTGTTGGGGCTGACAAATGAGGTGTGCTGCAGCTCGATGTGGTGAACTTTTGGGAGGAGAAATTTAGAGCATTGAGATATTCAACCTGATTGTGACCTTCATTGACTTTAAGCACAGAAGGGACTTTTGGGGTGATTTGGCCTGAGCTCTGGCATGGCCCAGACCAAAGGCTTGCACCCAGCCTGGCCTGCAGTGCTATGAGCGATTCCGCTCTGCTACGTATGCTCCTAGGAAGCTGTGGGCTAATCTCCCCAGGGAACCAATATGGGACGTATGAAATTGGACCAGCTATTCACTCCAATAGGGAAAGGCCCAGCAGGGAGATGGAGCAGCAGCCAAGTCATCCCTCTTGATCTATTGTACTCCAAGCTCACCCGTGGAGAAGTTGTGCCGCTAACTTGTTTTCTTTGCTTGGTTTCACATCTCCCTTTTGATGGGACCTCTGCAGCTTCTCACCACTTTATCTTCCTTGTAGGCTCCTTCTGCTTTCTCCAAGGGAAGGAGAGGCGATGGGTCACTCAGAGCCACCAGGAATGAAATGGCTTGAATTAAACAGACAGCCCCCTTTGCCGCTCTTTGATCTAGGAGCATAGGGAAAGCTCGGACCCAGAGACCATCCAGTCCCATATCTTGGCTGTGAGAGCTCCACAATTGACAGATGCAACTTGATCCACCTCCTACACAGGCCTGATTTTAGCCTCTGCAAGTCAGTCTGGCTTATTCCTGGAGCCAGTGTCCCTTCCGAGGTTTTGTTGTTGTTGCTGTTAATTAAAACTCTGGCTGCCCTGGTTTTCCACGCCCATGTTTCAGCCTTTTCAAATGATTTAAGTTCTCAGCCTCGATCACTTCTGTGGCCATCAGATCATGTGCTTAGTAGGATAATTATAATAATACACATCTATCTCATGCCCACAGTGCTTTTGTCTGTCCCTTTCTGACCACTTTACATAGGAGGTGGGTGTCACCATCCCCATTTTACAGCTGGGGAAATGGAGAGTTACAGAGAGAGTAAGTGGTTTACTCAGGATCACAGGAACTTAGGGCTTGGGCCATCAAATTTGGTCCTCTGTGCTCACAGGCTCCCATTCAAACAAGGATTCCCCAAAATAGCTACTTTACGCCCTTACACACAACTACAGGGCACAGTATTGAGCCACTAAGAGTGTGCCACAGCATGCTGTAGGTCAGAGCAGGGTAGCCAAGGGAGGCAAAGGCATTGCTCGCTTCCAGCATGTTACCACCAGGACTGGGAATAGGACCAAAAAGCTCTGAGTCCCAGCTCAGTACTCTATCCACTGCTTCTCCGTGTGCCTGTTTCAGATCAGCCTCCTGTCCACTGCTGTGAATGCCCCCTCATTTTGCATTACGAAGCTCAGAGAAAAGAAGTCCTCCCTAAACCGTTCCCTTACTTCTTCTGCCTTTTCATAACTCGTCTGATTCATCTCCTCTCTAAGGGAACAGTCCCGGTCTTCCAAATCTCCTTCCCCAGGCTAGGTTTTCCCATGGTCCTCTCACGTCTCTTCTCTGAATGCACCCTGGCTCTCCAGTAACCACAGTAATAAATTTTGTGCATCTGGGATTATTCCAGCCCCTTTTTCAATAGTGAGATTATATCATTTTGTAAGGCCCCAAACACCCAGTCTGGCCTATTTAAAAAGGAGTCTTCTGTGACTCAAAAAATGAGTTGGAAAGTAGTAATAAGATTTTTTTGGAAAACACAGCAGCATCATGGTGACTTAAGAGCCAGATGTCTATGGATATTTGAGCACTAGAGATGCAGATGCACGCCTAAAGGACTGATGAATGTGTTCAGCAAGGTTAGGTACCTAAATCACATGGCCTGCTATAGATATTAGGAGCCTGAGTCGCATGGATGCTAGCACCACTGCCTGCCTGGCTAATTAATACTGTCGCAATGTATTCTGGTGATACGCAGTCCGCCTCTCTATCAGTTGTCCAACCCTCGAATTTCAAGCTGTTTGGTGCATGGAACCAAATTTATTCTGTTTGTACAGTGGTGTCCTGGCCGGTGGCCTGAGCTCCTAGACACTATGGTAACACAAATATTATTATAGTATTGCTATTATCTCTGTTAAAGCCCATAGTTGTTTACAATATCTTGGGGTGCCTGAATGCCTGTATAAATCTAGCCATATATACAGATGGGTGGATTGCCAGCACGCTGGTTCATCTCTAATTTAAAAAAAAATATATATATATACATATATTAAAGATGAACCAGCATGCTGGCAAACCACCCATCTGCTTACCCGAGCACAATACAGGGACTGCAGCAGACTTGAGGCACCTAAGCTTCCAGGTTTTGCTGCCTCTGTCCTGAAAAAAAAGTACAAATTGTAGGAAAGTAGGTCTGGAAGGGCCCTCAGGAGGTCATCAAGTCCAGTGATGCCCCATGGGCCAGATGGGCAGCACCAGGTCTGGCCATGGGCCGGATCCAGCCAGCGGGCTGTTATCTGACTGTGTAACATTTGGAAATTTGGCAGTGGGGAGGAGAGGTGGCCATGTTAATTGGCCCCACTCCCTGCTGCCAAAGTTTCTGTCCCAAGGGGCATCCCGCAGGCCGGATCCCACCTTTCCATGGGCTGGATTTGGCCCATGAGCCAGGGATTGAGCGCCCTTGGTCTAGTCCAATCCCCTACTCAAGTCAGGATCAGCCCTGACTAAACCATCCTAGCCAAAAGTGTCTGACCTGCTGTTTAAAAACTCCCAAGGGTGGAGATTACACAGCCTCGCTTGACCACCCTCGTAGTCAGAAAGGTCTTCCTAATTTCCAACCTGCTTTCTCTGCTGCAAGTTAAGACGTGCTCCTTATCCCATCCCTTGCAGCCGCAGAGAATAATCTGCCTCAAACTGCTGCCGTATATGCACCCTTCTGGGATTTGAAGACTGTTATAAAATTTCCCTTCAGTTGTGGCTTGTCTAGACTAAATCATCTCAGTTTTTCCAGCCTTTGCTCATAAATCAGGCTTCTGATCATTTTGTCACTCTCCACTGAACTCTTGCTAACTTGTCTGTGCCTGTCTTGAAGCGCAATACCCAAAACTGGACCCAGTTCTCCAGGTGAAGCCTCACAAACAGATTTGCTCCTTGTGCTTCTAATTGTACCTGCTATTCTGGTCACACAGGACAAGTTGTTCCTGTGCTTTATTGCTATGGGGGCATGCTGTCCTGACCCAGCTATGGGAGGGTTGCCTGCCTTCCCCTTCCCTTTGCTTGTTCATCCACAGAATCCCTAATGAGGGGTAGCCAGTTTGTGCTTCCAGTTACACCAGGGTGTAAATCTACAAAAACACCGTCAATCCAGGCCGGATGTGGCCTGCAGGCTTTTTTGGGTTGGCACAGATGGATTCTTGCTAGATCATTTTAGGCCCTGACTCTGCAAAGCCCCTCAAGATTGTGAAGGGATCCTGGGGTCTATCTGTGGGGCACAGGGCAGCACTGTCCAGAAACATCCTGCATTCCCTGAACTAGAAACAGGGTAGCTGTGTTAACACGCTACTGTTTGCAGGTGAATAAACTCATTCAGGTTGTCTCAGCACAGCACCCATCTGTCCTAGGAAAAATATGTCCCCGTGGTGGCGTTGGGGCTCTCCCTGGGTGCTAGGACCTTTTTGAACTGGGCTTTTACAGACTCGTAGAAAATGAAGGTTGAAGGGACCTCAGGAGATCACATGTAGTCCAGCCCCCTGCTCAAAGCAGGACCAGCCCCACCTATATCATCCCAGCCAAAGCTGTCTACCTGGGTCTTCAAAACCTCCAAGGATGGAGAGTCCACCATCTCTTTAGGTAACTTGTTCCTCTGCTTCACCACCATCCCAGTGAGAGAGTTTTTCCTAATATCCAACCTCAACTTCCCTTGCTGCAACTTGAGCCCATTGCTCCTTGTCCTGTCATCTGCCTCCACCGAGAACAGCCCAGCTCCATCCTCTTTGCAGCCCCCTGCAGGGAGTTGAAGGCTGCTATTAAATCCCACCTCGGTCTTCTCCTCTGCAGGCTAAATAAACCCAATTCCTGCAGCCTCTCCTCAGAAAGTGTGTCCTCCAGCCCCCAAACCATTTTCACTGCCCTCCACTGGACTCTTCAATTTGTCCATATCCTTTCTGGAGTGAGGGGCCTAAACTGGACCCAAACTAGCACCACATTTTCCTGGGTCCTACATCCCTGCTCTCCAGTCACCCTTGCTGCCACCCCAGTCCTTCTCACTGTGCTCTTTCTGCCCTTTGTTTCCAGGGGCATTTGGCAGCGAAGTCCATCTCCTCAGCTGCTGGACTTGTTCCCCAGGCGAATTCGGTGTTGCTGGAAGGGGCAGGACTGCCAGCTGGCAGGACTGAGATCCTGGTATTTAAGGATGGAAGCAGCAGGATGAGTTACCTTCCCTATATTTCCCTTTTGCTCCAGGTTCCCGACTACCCTTTTTGTGGGGGAAGAGTGAAGTTCAGTGTCTTGCATCCATTTAACCCCTACAGTCTTCATAGCTGTGAAAACCATGCTGTGAAAACCATGAAGCACTGGGGAATCTCTGCATCCCTGAGCATAATAAATCTCTTCACAGACTTGTTTTTTAGGGTAGCTTCAAAGACAAAACTGTGGGAAGCCATGAGATGGTGCCCAGAGTGAATGGAGGATGGGGAAGGGAGTGGAGCAGATAGCCCCAGAGAGTGGGACATGAATGTTGCCCCTGGAAGGGGCAGTACAAGACCTGGATGGGGAGGTGTTAGCATTGGGACACTCTCCCTTTCCTCGTTTTATCTGACAAGTCCCTTTAATACAAAACGATCATACCAGTCCCTCCTAAATGAGGGTTTACCTCACTGCCAAAATCCTGCCCCCTCCACTGGGCAACAAGTATGTAGATGCTCAACAAGTGAGCGGATGCTCACTTTGCTGGGCTTTGGGTTATTTGTATGGAGTGACTGTGGCTTGTCCGTCTGCTCCCTGCCTTGTCTCGGATATAAGAAGCGGGGGCAGCTTGAAATCACAAGGGTCTTTAATGTTTTTGGGTGTGCATCACCCACCAGTTGCCCGCTCATACACGCTTTGACCCGTACAGGCTGCCCCCTCAACCAGAAGCAGAGTAGCTGTGTCCACACAGGGTATCCATGTCTCCACAGGTGTCACAGCAAGAGGTGACACCATCACTTATCAGTGTGAATTAGCCCACTTGAAGGGTTGTACAACCACGGCTACCCTGCTTCTCATTTATGAAGCATCCCGCGGGGAGAAGCATAGTGTGTTGGAGGGTGCTGTTGCCTGCTGTGCAAACTTTACTGTGTAGACGCGCCCTCGGCATCTGGGAAGGCAACTTCGGGCCCTCGATCTGGTTCTGCGGTTGCTAGAGGGGTCAGACGGGGAGAGCCTACCTTGAAACCCAACTGCTAAATAGTGGATTGCTTTAGTCATGGCAAGTGCCATAAACTCAACCCGTTGGTAGACGAACCCCTGGCTGTCAAGATTGAATGTCTGTGTGAGGTTCCCAGAAGGACCACCCCAGTGGTGAAAGGGTATTGAAGAACTGTCCTTCTGTTGGGCAAAGCCCTTAGCCCTGGACCTGCCCTGTCTTTGCAGGCTCCATTATCAAGCTGAGCAGGTTTTGGATGGGTTGGGGAGCTGCAGTGCTAACACCTCTCTCTCTCTCTTTCTCTCTCTCTGCAGATGGTGAGCTTGTTCACTATTGCTATGGACTGAAGGACTTGGTCACCATCCTCTTTTACATCTTCATAGCAATCATTCTGCATGCCGTAGTGCAGGACTATGCCCTGGATGTGAGTCATTTGTTCCATCACCTCTTGGGTGGCCCTTCCAGAGCTATATTGTGGGTGGCCTGGGTGCCTTCAGGGCTGGCATGGCAGATGATGAGCTCATGGATAGCAGGAGAAGGGCGAGTTCCTAGCTTATGTATTTTATTGTTTTTCCTCTAGAAAATCAGCCGACGTTTCCATCTCTCCAAGGTCAAACACAGCAAGTTCAATGAATCAGGACAGCTGGTTGCATTCCATCTCACCTCCATGATCTGGTGCTTATATGTCATAGTGACGGTAAGTTGTGGCAATGGGTCCCACGGAGGCTTGGTGCAGACCCTTTCGGGTTTCCCATTGCACTAGTGAAGTGTAATTCCTTTACTGTAGATTGAGCTGGCGGTAGTAGGTGTCCTTTATGATTTGCACAAGATTGCAAATTCGCACACACAAGTTTAGGGCTGGAAGGGACCTCATGAGATCATCGGGTCCAGCCCCCCTGCTCTGGGCAGGAAAGACTGCTGGGGTCAAGTAACCCCAGCAAGGTGTGCATCCGGTCTCCTCTTTGCTGGTGTGTTCTGAGCAGACCGGCATGATGCCAGTTGCATTTGTACTCTTGGAGTAGGTTGAATTACTCCAGGTATGCCTTCTCTAGGGTCCTGGGGCTTCTTAAGGGGAGTAGGTCAAAGGGCTGTGAAGCAACATGCACACTGAGGTCCGAGGTACTCCATGGTGAGTTCTGCACCAGGGTGAGAGGACTGCATAGCAGATGGAAAAAGGTCTATCTCCCTTCCGCTTTTAACTAAAGATAGAGGTTGCAGGGAGCTAAATTAAAGCACAAACCACACAACCGCTCCAGCTGCCTCCAGGCCACCTAGTTGTAGAAGTGACCTGATGCAGAGCTGTTTCATCTCTGTACTCATCTCTGCATTGCAAGAGGTTTTGTGTGCAGCTCTAGTGATTCAGGCAGCTGGTGGGGTGAGAGGTGGTTTGGGGACAAGAGATGAGCTGGTTAAGTGGACGCTAAATGATCAGCTGCAGAACGGCAACCCTGATGCCTGTCCTGCTGCTCCAGTCAGCCCCATGCTGCAGTGAGCAGGACAGCTTGCTCCTCAGTGATTGTTTGGGCTGCTGGCAGGCTCAGACCCATGTCACTACTGCAGTGTGTATGCCCTGTGCAAGGTTTTCCAGTGTGAAGCCTGTAATCCTGGAGTGAAAACCTGGCCTTGCTGAAGGTAGGGAAGATTGTGCTACTGACGTCAGGGAATCAAAGCCCCATCTGTGTTGCGCTGTAGTAACAGCTTAGATCCTGGATGGATTCCCAAGCACAACCCCCTTGAAAGACATAAGACCCCAGGCCCTTCTTCCTCTCCTTTGGCACCCTGCTCCCTTCCCACAAAGCCCGTCAGCCTGGCTTTCTGCCCTGTGAGGCCCCTCTATTCACAGCAAAAAGGCTGGAAAGTCTCACGCAGCCAAGCTGTCTGACAGGCTGTGCAGTGACTCAAGCACTTGATAATCAACACAGCTGCTTCAGATGCCTGCTACTGGTGCTTCACAGAGTCACTGGGGGGGTGGGGAGCTTAGCCTCCTACATTTCAGCAAGAGCCCATCTCTCAACCCAGGAGACCACAGCACCTGGAAGGAGCAGGGAAGGAAATAAACTCTCCCAAACCTAGTGAACTCTGCATTCCTAGCACCACGGTGCCCAATTACTATTCTGCTCATGCCCCCATTGTGAACGGCAGGGAGTGGGGCCGCGCGGTAGAAAACCCTTGTGATGCCAAAACACATTGCAGTGGAGAACTGTGGCTTTGGTCTTGAAGGTCAGAGGGGGTGAGATGGGGCAGTGGTTTGGGAAAATCAGGCGCTATGGAAGTTATTGTGAGCATTAGCTCACATGCTCCTGGCTTGTCCCCACCCAAAACCAAGTCAAACCTGTATCATTGCAATGGTTGCACTGTGCAACACCCAGGGCCTGTGTATGAGTGGAGGGTGTCCCTTGCAAAAGGAGTGTGGATGCGTGTGAGAACGGACCTCTGGGACTGCAGTTTAAAGCTGGGCATGAATGCATATTTCATTCAGCAAGTTTTGGGCAGAGGTCATTGGTGTTGACACACTTACAGAGACCACTCGGCCAGCTGTATCCCCACACCTCATAAGGCCCCGAAATGCACCGGGTTGGCATGGAAGTGACCTCTCCTCAGCCAGCTCTTTCCAGGCCTAAAAGAAAATGGCATGTTGCTAAAATAACACCCCCCCAATCTATTATTACCTTGTTGTGCTAGGTGTTGTACAAACATGGAACAACATGGCAGGGCCTTCCTTCCCCAGGAAGCTTACAGTACCTCCCCCTCCCCTTCACCCCCCATCACCGTAGCCCCCACATCCTTTGGGGGTGGCTGATAGACTGCTCTTGCCTGCTTGCCTTCTGCTTCTGCCTCTGCCCCTGCCTCCCCCTCCTGTGCTGCCAGCTCTCTAGCAACTGGCACTGGCTTACAGGGCAGTTAGATTAGGGCCCTGGTGCCCATTACCTTTCACTGCTTCAACTAACCCCTTGAAGACTGCATACCTTGGGCAGCAGGTCTGCTTTTTCCAGCCAAGGTAGTCAGGTGTTGAAATTCTGGCCCGTCCTCTTGCCTTCCCTCTGTGGCTTGCACATACCCCCTGGGAGCAAGTTTGCAACCTCACTTGTTGGCGATCCTTGCCCCAGCCCCCTGCCATTCATTTCCTCTCATCAGGGGCTGCAGGCATCCCCAAGCCCGCTGCCATGCCCGGGTGCTCTGCAGAGGGGCAGGGGGACGCTGGATGATAGCAAGAGGCTTTGGGCCATTCTGAGCCTGTGCTGTGTCCTGCAGCCAGTCCCCTTGTGGGCTTAAACACCACGTCTCCTGCAATTTGGCAGAGAAGATGCTCTTCCATGAGGATAAAGAAAGGACCTGAGCTCTAGCTTCCCCCAATTTGGTTGTTACCAAAGAAGGCAAGAGGGAAGCACGTCTGCTAAATCAGGGGTGCTCCACCCCCAGCCTGTGGGCCAAATCTGGCCCCTGAGGCTGTGTCATCTAGCCTGCAGGGCTCCCCAGGGATCTGGGGGTGGTGGTGCTGAGTACTAGATCAGGCATGCAGGGCAGCGTGGGACCCGATCCTGGTACATGGGGATCAGGTGGGGGCAGTGTGAAGCCCTCGGAGTCTGGTTTGGCCGGGCAAGGGTGGTGTAGAGCCCAAACTGGCCTGTTGACTGGCTCCATGCTGTTCCTCTAGCATGCCGGGCCCAAACCATGAGCACCACCATGCTTAACCAGCACGCTGGCTACATCAGTGGTGCTCAACCAGAGGGTGGTGGTTGAGGTGTGAGGAGATAAGCGGGTAAACCCAGGCTCAGGCTGGTCCCTGCCAGGCCCCTCTGCAAGGAATTAAGCATTGTAATGTATAAGTTAGTTCTGGAAATTGGGTACTGCTCATGTCACAGAAGTTACAGAGGGGGAAGCTTGAGTCCAGAAAGGTTGAGAACCCCTGGACGATATCTTTCATGCAGAGATATTGCACACCACAATGCCCTGTGGCCTCTTTGATGCCCAAATCTCCAGTCTGTAGCTTTTTTGCCTCCAGCAGGCACCGTCTTACCAACCAGGCTTTGAGCGCGTTGGTCCCCCGAGACATGTATGAACATGTATAGCTTTACCCCATCACTTTCTCCTTTCGGGGACAGCGTAAGCAGTGACCAGCCCACCTTCACCAAGCCCATTGCTGCTTAGGGTGGAAAAAAAAACCATTACAGAGAAAGCGTGCATAATAATGACCTGTCCCTGCTCACACTGGCTTTCCAGGCATCTGTCATCAGCCATCATCCTGCTAGGTACAGGCCCAAGTCCATCAGTTCTTTGTCCCTCTTCGTGCCTCTGACCTCAGCTCAGGCTGCCTTTTTAAACCCTTCACCCCTTTGTTTTTATGGCCTCTTGATCCAGAACAAACGAGCATGAGCAGTTTTCCCCCAGGAGAGTGTGGCTTTCAGACTCGTTTGTATGCAGGGGATCTGCATCAATTGCTTCCCAGTGTTTCCAGGAGTGGAGAGATCCATATAAAACTTGCAGTATTGATACAGCCGCTCTTTTTCAATGCTTCACGTGCCTGCAGCATCAAAACCAGCTTGCTCCCGTAATCTTTGAAGCTTCCATGGTCTCACCTCTATTGTGCTAGACTGCTCTTAGCAGTGGCAGATGACAGAACAAGGAGCAATGGTCTGTTGCACCAAGGGAAGGTTAGGTTAGATGATAGGAAAAACTTTCTCACAAGGAAGGTAGTAAAGCACTGGAACAGGTCACCCAGAGAGGTGGTGGAGTCTTCCTGCTTGGAGGTTTTGAAGACCCAGCTAGATAAAGCCTTGGCTGGGATGATCTAGTTGGGGCTGTTCTTGCTTTGGTCCAGATGACCTCCTGAGGTCCCTTCCAAACCTCATTTTCTATTATTTTTTTTTTCTGTGCTGCATGAAAAGAAGATTTGAGATTGCAAAGCATTAAATGATGATGATGGAGAAGAAAACAAGTTCAGGTTCCTCTTACAACCATTGTCACCTGTGTTGTCTAGCACCTAGAGGCCCCAGTGGTAGATCAGATGCAGGCCTGCGTACAGACATTGAGCACCACATCCCTTCTCCAAGGCAGGAGGTAGATATGGTCAGATGCATAGCACAGGGCAATGAGATGCAGCCAAGACGCGGTTCCTGTAGAAACCCACTGCCTTGCAGCCAGCTATGATAGCAGAATCGCATGCCTCTCTCCGTGCTGCAGCTGGGGCTTGCTGACTGGATAAGCCCTGTATAACTTGGCAACATCCAAATGTGGTTTCACCAGATCACTAAAACACAAATCAGGTGGGACTGACTCCGTTCTCCTCCTTCCACCGAGCTGTTCAGCGTGGTTGCAGGGGAGCAGCAAAGTTTTTGCGACAGTACAGCTGTCTGCTTTCTGCTCCCTTGTTCAAGAAACACCCAGAGAGTTTTGTTCAGTCTTGGTTCCCCCTAAGGCACAGAGCAGACCCAGAGGAGATCAGCCCTCAAGGCGAAGGCCAAGTAGCCCAGCAGACCCCCTCTGCTGCCTGCCTCTCACACTGTTGCGCTGGTGCCATGGGGATTACAGCAGCTCCTCGAAAGAAGCTGGCATCCAGGCTTCTCTTAGGGGTGGTCTTTTTATTGGTGTGACATTAGCAGGCCCCACTCAGGCCAGCATTGTGCTTACAGGTGACTGCATGCCGGTTGTTCCTTTTGCTTAATAGACTTTGTCTTCTCTTGCAGGAAGGATACTTCTCAAACCCAAGGAGCCTGTGGGAAAACTACCCTCATGTTTATCTTCCGTAAGCATGCTCACAATATGCTTAGTGCTGCAGCTGACCACTTCCTTCCTCTTTACATTCTTCTGGGACAGGGGCAGGGGGGATGCGTGTCAGCAGCAGATATGTAGCATGCTATGCCGTATGTCTTCCGAGTCCTTCATAGTGAATGCATGCCTCCCACTTCCCACCCGAGCATATTGCATGAAAAGGAAATCTGTCATCTTGCTAGGATTCAAGGGGTGAGAGACTGTTGTATTATTGGGTGCTGCAGATGAAGTCTGGCAAGGTCTGGCACTGGCAACGTTTCAGTCTCTGCCATTTTTTTTCTATGCCGATTTCCCCACTCTTTCCCACACGTAAAACAGGGTCACAGTCCTTCCTCCATCTCCTTTTTTTTGTACGGCTGGATTGGTTTGGGTTTGTGAGGTACTGGGAGGCTACCAGGAGAGCATGGGTACGTAGAGCTTCAGTCTGTGCATGGTTCCTTCAGCCAGGAGCATAAGCAGCATCTGGAAAACTAGGGGCCAGGACTTTATGGGCACATGTGAAGAGGTAGAGAAGATGCGACTGTCCTGAAGGCCTGGGGCAGAACTGAGAGCAGAATGTGGGGGTTTGTGGCCTAGTCTAGCAAGGCCTCAGGATTGAATGCATGCTTCTTCTTGTTGTGGTGCCAAGCTACTGGGTAAAACCCTCTGACCTGGGCCCTACAGCAAGTCAGGCTATGTAGTTATCTGGGCTCCTCCAACACTACATCAGTCCAGCCCAGGAAACCAGGCTCTCACAGGTGAAATAACCTTTATATCCATCCCTGGCGCAGACCACAAAGGCTCCAGGTGAGGTGGCTCCATAGCAAAGGGGTTGGCTGTTGAATGCCACGTGCAGAGCTGACGTGTCAAGTTTATAAGGAGGCCATGCATAGGCCAAAGTTGGCCGTCCTTTGGGCAGATGCATCATGCTGTATTTTGGTTGCTGGCAGACCCTCCTCCTGTCTTCTTCCTGTGGTGGTTAGGGGGTCTCAGCAGCCGCAGGACCTCCTTACCTGAGGCCCCAGGCCAGGCTCTCTCTTTTTTTCACCTACCACCTGGGCTGTAGGTGACGTGCACCCCTCTGAGCACCTCCTTCCTGTTGAGACTCGCTCTTTCCAGGGAAAGCCAGTCTGTCTCCTGCTGGGGTAGCTGATTGAGAATGCAGCTGGCCAGGAACCACAATTGCCTTTTGTTCCCACGCTGGGAACTGCTGTAGGTCCTGGGGTAGCTCTATGTCCTGCTTCTGCTCTCAGCATGTGCTGTCTGCTCACGTGGATTCTCCTCTTGACCCCCGAAGGACAGATCAGCCCATAGTGGGGCTTTATCCAAACATGACTGCCACCTGGGAGCTCTGTTGGCTGAGTTGCACAGGGCTGGAGGCAGGGGGGAGCACTGTCTCACCGCTCTCTCACACTTGTTGGCATTGCAGGTTCCAGGTGAAGTTCTTCTACCTGTGCCAGCTGTCCTACTGGCTGCACGCGCTGCCCGAGCTGTACTTCCAGAAGGTGCGGAAGGTGAGTGCTGGGCACGCTCCTTGGGCAGAGGAGCCGCCAGACAGGTGGGTGTGCTTGCAGCGGCTTGAAAAAGCCAGCAACATTCAAGTGTGGGACATGTGGAACCTGGAGACAGGTGCTGAAAAAGCCGGAGTGGGCCGCTCCCTCCTGTGCCAGACCAAGAGCAAGCTTAGGAGATGCTTTTCAGCTGTTGCAGGCACACTGTCCTCCTTGGCTTTTCAGCTGGGGTGGGTTGAATTTTTTTACTGTTGTGCCATGACTATGCTCTGCATGGGAGCTGGAGGAGCAGGGAGAGCCCCTGACCTGGCCTGGGGTGTTATCTGTCATGTGGGATGAACCCCCTCATTTGGTTTTGCTTCCCTCTCCAGGAGGAGATTCCCCGCCAGCTGCAGTATATCTGCCTCTACCTGGTGCATATCGCTGGAGCGTACCTCCTCAAGTGAGTGCCGCCACGTCCGGTCTCCCCACGGTGCTTGCTCAGGCCTCTGCAGCTGAAGCATTGGGGTTCTGGCCCTGGCCCTGGGGGTGGGAGCTCAGCCTTTGCTGGAGACTAGGGTCTTAGCTTGGACACCTGGAAATTTGGAGTTGGCCACCGTGTTTAGAATTGAATAAAGAGGGTTATTAAGCTTTTGAAACTCCCAGCTGCAGGATATGTCAGAGGTGAGGTGATGGTTACAGTTTTTGGGAACCAAGAGGCTCTTTAAGTACATCAGCCAGGATGGATGATGCGATAGCCATGCCTCATGCTTCCAGAGCATCAAATGGTGTTGGCTATGAGGCATGGCCGCCTCTTGTGCCAGGAGAAGCTTTCTCCCATGGCATGGTGCTTCACAGCTAAACGCACGTGAAGGGTTAGTATCTCACCCCACAGCACATGTAGGGTATGTGATAGGTAGCACAGACCAGGGGCTGGGACTTGGGAGGCCCTGCTGAGTCCCTGCACTTCTCTGTGCCTCAGTTTCCTGCATGGATTGTCTGTTCAGATTGCAGTCTCTTTGGGGCAGGGCGTCTCTCCTGCTGCATCTGCGCAGCCCCTGGTGCAAAGGGGCCTGGAGTTTGGTTGCAGCCTGTAGGCACTACGGTGGTACCCACTTGGAGTCAGGGTAATAAGGGGGATGGAGCATGATGGGTTGCAGCATGGCCGTGCCTGTTTCTTTTCTCTCTAGCCTCACCCGGCTGGGGCTGATCCTCTTGCTGCTGCAGTACGTGGCCGAATTCCTCTTCCACATGGCCCGCCTTGTCTACTTCACGGATGAGAACAACGAGAAACTGTAAGTGCATGGAGCTGAGAGTAGACTTGCTTCCTCCCCCACCCCCAGCACTAGATCCTGAACCAGCGGTTCACCTACCATGAGACATGGGCTCAGTCATGGTCTCCCTCCCTGTCCATCCTTTGTACACCCTCCCCCCAGACTCCTGCTCCCACTTTGCTTGTTTTTCTGTTTAGGTTGGTCATGCCATTTGTCACCAGATGGCTTCATGGCACCTCGTGCACCAGGACCCTGTCTGGGTGATGATGTCTGTTGCCATCCCAGCAGAAATAACCTGAGAGCTCCCTGCTTGGATGGGGGTTGTAGTATGGTGGGCATCAGAGAATCAAACCCTAGATCGCTCCAGGCTTGGACTGACAATCCTGAGTGCTGGTGGCCATGGTCCTGGGGTAGATGTAGCAGGAAGCCCTGCAGAATCAAAACCAAGTGTGTTTTGGAGAGTGCTTAAGCCCCCCTCTGGCTTGCCCAGGAAGTTGTATGGCACCAACACCAGCCTCATGCATTTCCTTTTGCTAATGGACCTCACAAGTGACTAGCTGGGTCCTTGTACTCTGTGGCCTTTTTAAGCAGCGGGGCCTTCACTGAGGCAGCAGTGGTTGGGGCAGCTCTTGGATGAGCTCTTACCTTGTAGGACAGGTGGGCCAAGGTTCACCAGCCCCCCAAAACACCTTGTCCCAGGCTCCTTGGAGGAGTCCAGCTGCTGAAATGACTGCACTCCAGGCACCTACCAGCCTGCCTGGGGAGTCCTGGCAAGGGGAGGCTTGTCTTGGTGACTCTGCTGCCTTAATTTCACACAGGTTTAATGCTTGGGCTGTTGTGTTTGTGATCACCCGACTCTTCACCCTCACCCTCTCGGTGCTGGTCATAGCCTTCGGGCTGGCGCGGGAGGACAACCAGACATTTGAGCCTGAGAAAGGAAACTTCAACACCCTGCTGCTCAGGTAGGTCTTTGCCAAGGGCTTTCGTCATCGACTTTGTGGCCTGTAGCTTGGGAGATTCTTGGTGTTGTGGGCATACGTTCATGTTGGGAAGGGAAGGAAGCAGAAAAAAGCTGTAGTGACTGCCCTGTGTGGCTCCCAGGGCAAAGTTTTGTTTTTCCTCTACTGAGCTTCAGATCCCTTGTGTAGGGATCTGAAACTCCAGATTTCTTCTGCTTGGGCTGCCCTCTGTAACAAGGACCCTGCTGACCAGGGATAGTCCTGAGTGCATGAGTGTGCTGAGTTTTAGGCTGTTGTGGGCCTCAGCTGAACAGTAGTGGGGGGAAAACCTGTGAGCAAACACACCCCTCACTTGGCAAGTCAAGTCAGCAGATATGAAGGGGTGTGGCAAATCCCTCTTCTAGAGAGAGACCACTGGTGCATGGCCTCTTTTCTAGCCATCGTTGCACTTGAAGGGATGCAGTCAGTTTACTGAATCAAGCTTCTGTCTGGAAATACCTCACTGCCTGTTGTCACAGTGTGGGAGGAGAGACAATTCCCCAGTACAATCAGTGTGTAAATCAGGACCTTGTGAAAGGATGCACTGTCGGATGTTGTGGGCTTGATGAGGTTCTCTATCCTGTCTCTAACAGGAGGTTGCTATAGATGATCGTAAGAGTCCTGGTGGGCCATAAAATCTAGGACTGATTCACTCAAATGACTTATTGTAGACCAAAGAGAGAGGGCTAAACCCTCCTTTTAGCTTTTCGGTGTTATTAGCACCCTGTTGTGTGGTTCCAGCAGTCGCTGGCTTCCCTGGTATCTGTGCAGGGGTCTTGGTGGGGAGGGACCAAGAGGTTTGTGATAATTTGGGAGCCTGAGCTGCCAATGAGGCTCATGTTCATGCTGGTTGGTACCTGACTCTCCCTTTCCACAAAAAATTGGTTTGGGGACTCCCACAAGCACTTGTCCCCAGTTCTCTGTGGCCCTTGGGGGCATAAAAGACCACTTAATAGCTTGGGGACCGACTTGGCGAGGTTTGGGGTGACCGTGGGGCCCTCCAGCTTTCCGGAGGCTCTGCTCGGGTGCTAGCCTCCCTGCTGCACTCTCAACCCGCGTCTCCTCTGCTCCCTTCAGGATGGGCGTGCTGCTCGTGGTCTGCCTCTTCCAGACCTGGATGATGTGGCGCTTCATCCACTTCCAGCTGCGGCGTTGGCGGGAGTACTGGAACGAGCAGAGCACCAGGAAGCGGGCCGCAGCTTCTGCCACCATCACCAAACAGCAGTCCAAGCCCCTCAAGAGGGAGTCAGGTGAGCATTAGGTCGGGGCTGCCGACAGTGGGGCAAGGGGGGTGAGATGGGGATGACCCAGGTGAAGTCAGGCCAGCTCCATGGGCTACGACCCAAGAGAAATCGGGTCTGCGTTCCCTTGCAGCCCATGTGCTGCAGTGCTGGACCAAGGAGCTACCGCCCTCATCCTGTTCAGTGTGCGAAGACCAGTGGAGGCACGGTGTGGGTCCAGCACAGAGAAAGCTGAAACAGTCCTGGGTCTCTACACCCCTCCCTGGGCTTGTCCCTCTAGGATAGACAGTCCCAGTCCCCTTCATGTTGAGTGACCAGCTGCACTCCCCCTCCCCTGCCCCCAGGTTATCATGAAAATGGGGTGGTGAAAGCCGAGAACGGGACTTCGCCGCGCACCAAGAAGCTCAAGTCTCCGTAGAGCCAAAGGCCGGTCTGCAGGGCCAGAGGGTGAGAGACCAGGACTAAGCACCAGCCCTCTGCTCCCCAGCCCTGCAGGTGCCATCTTGGATGGCTTGAAAACACATTGTCTTCACAAGCTTGCGCTCGCGCGTGCTCTCTGTCTCTTCTCTTCCATGCTCTTTTTTTTCTCTCTCTTCCTCTCTTAGATCATTGCAATAAAACCAACCCCCCCAACCAATCTCTCCTCCCTACATAGGAGCCCAACACAAAGCTCCAGCCTTCACCTTCCTCTCAATCCTATTATAAACCATCGTGCAATTCCCCCCACCCCCCCTCTTTCCATTCATTACTGTGGGAGGGTTTTAATAAATAGGTAGCTCCAGATATGCGATCCCTTTTCCACAACAGGTTCCTCCCTGCTCCCTTCCCTCAAACAACCCTGTTTTTCCCTGGATCCGTGGTTTGGAGGGATGGTAGCTGTGGCTCCAGGGGCTGACTTGCTGCAAGCGTAGTCCGAGTGACTGCTACCGTCGGACACGGGGGGAGACTACAGCCAGATCTTGGGAGTTTGTGGCATCTTCTGGAGCTCTTGGTGAGCCTGTCCTGTCTCGAGCAGGCTTCACAGGATCCAGAAGGCACCCCAGTTCTAGACTGAGCATCTCCCCAGAGGAAGCTGCAGTGTGCCCTTAGCTGTGTTTAGCAGCCCCTCCAGCCTTGGCTTTGGGTCATGTCCTAGAGAGCTGGGCAGGTGACAGAGTGGGGAACAGCTCCTGCCTGCTCTCCCCACCCAGGCACTTCGCCCAGCATCTGCCCATCTCGCCCGCTTCAGCAGCTGGAAGGGAATCCCCAGCACCAGCCCCTCTGGACCTGCTGGTGCTACTGGCTGAGCCCAGTCCTGACTTGTCCTTCCCCCTCCTCAGTGGCACGGTGACCAGGCTTCGCCTCTGCCCCTTGACTGTCAGTGCTTTATGGTGGGGATGGCTGCACCCAGGGAAGTAGCTCAGGCCAAATTTGGGTTCAGGTGGCATCCGCCTGAGCCCCTCCACTACCAGCAAGATAACCTCGTTTCTGCAGCCTTCAGGACATGCCACGTGGCGTTGGGGCATCACGGTCCTAAGCTTTTGTGCTGCGTCCAGGAGAATGGCTGTCCCAATGGGGTTAACGCGGCCATACCCTTCCACCCTTGGGCATCCGAGTGCCTCTGCCATCCCAGCCTGGCCCTTCCCTTCTCTGCTCCCTTTCCTCTTCCAAGGATACCGGGCTTGTATCCACCAAGGTGCTATAACACAACCAGGTTTCCATCCCATTCCCGAAGCCCAGCCCCATCGTTCCTTTTGAGCCATGAATGGGATGGGAATCAGCGTAGACTTGCCCACGGGTGAGGGAGGGCTCCCACCTTACCCGTGCCATACGGCAACCTTCTCACCGCCCCAGCGGGTTGGATGGAAATCCCCTCAAATCTACCTCAGAGGCCACGTTTCCGAAGACCACTTTCCCTCATCAGCCCCTCTTTGCACGTGGTGTTGGAAGGCGATGGCGGCAGGCAGGACCGTTCTGACACCCAGGACCCCCCTCTGGCGCTACCCCCGGTTTCACCCCTGCCCTCCTCTTGCCAGGCCCATCCCAACCCGCTAGGCAGCAGGTCTCTTCCCGTGCCACGTGTTGATCAAGACTGGGCCCAGTCGCTCTGCTGCATCCTCCCTCTGTGGGAGTTCCCGGTCGCCGGGCTTTGCCCCTGTGTGCAGCAAAGCAATTGGGAGTTTCCATTCCCGGTGCGCCGTGGCGGGTGCTTCCTTTTTGGCAAAGCTGTTTCCATGTTGTGTGTTACTGCAACCTTGTTCGGTAGCATTTCCTCTTGGCCGAGCGTGGCGGGGGTGCTGCTGCTCCCAGAGCGGGAGGGGAGAGGCAGAGGGTGGGCTGGGGCACAGGTGCGGACTTGCTTCCCAAGCAATTCAGGTAGCAATCAGGGCTGACCCTTCCTTCCTAAGGGGCGAGCGACCTGGTGGGAATATATGACGCGAGATGCTCCTGGCTCATCCCTCTTTGCTTGTCTGTGCCAGTCTCCCTGCGGGGTGTGGCGCTTGCCCACACTCTCCTCCGTGCTTTTTTCGGGAGCCAACGGCAGCTCTCATGGGTTTTTTTTCAGGCCTTCTCAGCCATGCTTCTCCCTCCTGCTGATGGCCACATCCAGGGGTGGGGGAAAGGGTCTGGGCACCTGATGCAGCTGCTCAGGTTAAATCCCTTCCCCTTGCCTCCAGTAACCTTTGAGCTTCAAGTGAGCAGTGCCAGCTGTAGACTCCCAGAGGTCTCCCTCCTGGTCCTGCATCTTGTGACTGCCCCGAGCCCTTGCTGGGTGCATGGTGTGCTTCTTCCTAACAAATCCATCATTTGGGCAGAGGGGGCTCTGGCAATTGGAGAGCAGCATTACGGGATACAAGGTGGATGCTAACACCAGCAAAGGGGGAGCTGAAAGATGCAAGCGCTGAGCACCTAGGCTTAGCTCAGCACTCCCTTCCACCTCTGCCCCCTTTCTCCAGCCATATGGCTACCATTGGGGCCTCCAAAGAGGCAGAGGCTTGGCAGGATTTCTCCAAAGCACTGGCTGGTGTCACTTGGAGCCAGTGGCTTTGCACCTGCTGAGGGTCCCGCTTCCCATGCTTGCAGGTGGCTTTTGTGCAGTGCAAGCCAGTCAGGCTGCTGAATAATTCCTTCGGCACCCCAGGCAGCTTTTCCTCTTGTACCACCCTGCATCTCTGCAAAGAAGCTCATTGTACTCTGTAAACCAAGTGCCTTACATTGCCATATAGTCCTTTTGTACTCTTGCCCTTTGTACCATATTGATCGCTACACCCCCTTCCTCCAGCTCTCCATGGGTATGTATGACGTTACTTATAGTGCGCATATGTTCAGAGCCACCAGTAAAAGGGACAGGTTGTGCTGGAAGAATCCCTTCGTTTTCTATGCCTTTTTTTTACTTGTTGAACAGTGTTTTCCATAGAGGGGGATATCCCCACCCTTCCCTATTTCCTCTGGTCCTGCTAGAAAAGTCAATGTGCAATCCTAAGGTGGAGAGCTCCAGCAGCGATGCAGCCCTGGCTGTCTTACCGCCGGTATTGTATGGTTCAGGGGATGCAGAGGGCTCCCAACCAGATAACTCTCCCCCTTCCAGCCTTGCAGGAACTAGCTCTAAATTCCTTGCATTTTGTCCCAGAACAAGACTTTCTGTTCTGAAGAACCGTTTTTCTTCCAGGTTAGATTTTATACTCTTTTAAAGTCTCTAGCATGGATCAATTCACCTGCAAAGGCGCCAGGAAAAAAAAAAGGGGGATAACCACCTTCTCAGATGGGTTTTTTTCTTGGGTCACATCCTGCAACGTGGTGCACATCTGCAATAATCCAAGTGCCCTTCCTTCACCAACGTGGGGGATCCATAATTCAGTATTACAGCATCCCTCTCTGCCCTCCTGGGTTGTGCAATAACCTACTTGGGTCATGGTTAGAGTAATCACGGCTATTTGCGAACACTTGGAGGAGCAGGTCTGAGACATGGTCAAGCTGTGCGAACACAGCTGGCCTCACCTGCCCTTGGCCTGAGCCATGGAAAAAGCCTTTGAAGCACCCGTTCTCTCTTCTTCTGTCCCAGGTGTCTCATCGGTGTGATAGATGGGGCAGATAATAGCATTGTGCAGAGAGCGATTGTTTTAAGAGCTCATTGAATTAATCTTCTTTGCGCAAGTGGGCATTAAAATGAAACCTGTTTGTTCTCCTAAAGTTGTCTTTGCCACACAAGTTCTCCCATTCCCCAATTTTGAGCAGACTTTCCTGTCTGGATGGCAGTGGGGGTGCCCATGAGATTGGCCTTCGTCCCAGTGGGTTGGAGGTACAGCTGCATCTGACTTTTGTCTAACATAGATGAAGCTCCTGGAGGTGGAGTCCCCAGTTTCGGCTGACTTCTTGCACTGGAGTGGGGGTCTGCAATGGTCTGGCTCTGCCAGCTCCTTTGTCACCTTCAAGGTGGCATGCTCGGGTAGTCTGCTAGTGAAGCTATCACCTGTACCCCTCGGTCCCCTCTCCATGTGCACACTCTTTGTCAGAGGCAGGGAAGAACTCAAGGTGTAAAGGCTAGATTGGGTATACGTACTTCTTTTTTCCATCCATTTAATTCCACGGACCAAACAAACAAACTCAAGGAAAACTCTGTTCTTCCATATTTATACTGTCGTGCAAATTTCTTTTCTATTTTGTTGTTTCGGATAATTGTTTCAGACTTTTTAAAAAATCCCATTTGTTTCATCCCCCCCAGTCACTTAAGAAGACTTTTGTATGGATTTTTGTTTTTTTGTTAAGGAGTTTTTGTGACAAACTCTCAACAAAAGTATTTTCTGAAATAACTAAATAAAAGGCATAGAATCATCAATGTGCTTGTAACCGTGTCTGCATTTTCTCTTCCTTTTGCTAATACTTTATCATCAGGGATTCTGGTTTTCTCTGATTAAAGAAAAAAAAACCCAAATTGTCTGATTTTCAAAAAGTAACCCCAAATCCACATTTTTTCTGTGATTGAAATGAAATGCCATTAATTATATATAGTAGTGGCATTTCATTGTAATCACAGAAGAATGTGGATTTGGGGTTACCTTTTAAAATCAGGTATCCAGGTTGTAGCTGTATTGGTCTAGAAGCAAAAGGAATTGGGGCTCGTGGTAGAAGTAATATGTTTTATTAGACCAACTAGATTTTTGCAAAAAACATTTCTTTATATGGAAACACGACAACATCCTGTTTACCTCCAAACAACTTTGAGGTAAAGAGACTATTCCAGCTTTTCTCTGAGCCTAATCTGCATATAAAACGAACGGTTCCAAACCAGAAATTTTACCACCTTCAACTTTCCTATGAAATATGAACTTTTATTTCTACCCAGGATAAGTTTTACAGTCTTTTCTCCTATGCCTGGAGGAAGGTTGTTTGTGCACGAAAGCTTGCAATTAAAGATTTTTTTTTGCAAAAATCTAGTTGGTCTAATAAAATATATCATCCCTACCACGAGTCCCAATTCCTTTTTTAAATCAGAAAATTTGGGTTTTGGTTTTTTTTAATCAGAGAAAACCAGGATCCTTGTGTATTGCAAGCCAAGTGTGTGTTGCTGAAGTATAAAAGGTCAGCCTCTTCACCTTGCTGCCCTGACCATGTTCAAAGGAAAGTTGAGCAATGAATTTTTAAGATCTGAGAAGAGCCAGAGACGGTTTTGATTGAGTCTCTGCTGGATGAGGGAGCAGTGTGCATGGCCCCAGAAGGCAAGAGCGCCCAGCTTGCGGAGATGATGCTGGGACCTGCCACGTGTTTGGCTGGGAATCCCAGGCTTGCATGAGGAAGCAGGAGCTGATGGAGTAAATGAGTTGTACATCCCTACCAGATGATATGATACCTGCATTCTCTGTGCCTGTGAAGCAGCTGCTCTTCATTTGTGCTTGGGATTTCCAATGGCAGCAATGATGGACTGTCAAGCAGAGATGGGAACAGTGCCATAGGCTCCCCCCATCATGGCTTTCTTGACACTCAAGAGGGGACTAGAACAAAGCTCTCAAGTCTTTTCGAATGGGACCCAATATTTCTGAGACGGCAGGTGAACAGGTGAAGCGTTGGAGGGGCGGGGGCAGCCTGCTTGTCCCAAGTCCATTCTCCAGGAGCTTCAACCACCGCTGTATTTGCCGGGCAGCTCCTTGGCTGGTGGCAGGATGTCTGTTGCTTTCGGGACACATGAGAGCAAAGCACCAAGTTTCCTGTTAAGCAAGCAGGGTTATCTTTGGTAGATGCTTCATTTCAGCGCTCAGCTATTTAAGGCACTTGGGATGTGTTGGATTCAAGGGGGATGGACGCACGTGCCCTTTTGCCGCATTCGTGAGTGAGGGGCTGCTGGCACAAAGACTAGCGATAGACACAGCAAGGTCCTAGCCTCTGTCCAGGGAGGGCAACACCATTAATACCTTAACAGGATAGTCAAAATCTCTGCTTCTCATAATATTAAGCCCTGCTAGCTACAGGGATGTCTGAGACCTAAAGTTCTCAATCTATCCAGCTGCACCCTGCCCCCACCCAAAAACAAAAGGTCTGGGGGAGGCAATAGGGAATGCTGCTTCATTTTATTTGAAGCTTTTCTTGTGAGGTTGGTTTCAAGAAACAGCATCTATGATGGCAAGTGAAACAGAGAAGGCGGCAAACTGGCTGAGACCAAGGGGACCCTGGTGGGGAAAAGGCTGAGCAGGTAAGAAGGAAGCAAAGCAGGAGTCGAGAGCAAGCGTTCAAGAGGTACAATGTTTTAATAAAGGTCAGTTTGACTGGAGACGTCCTGGCTGGCTGGCTGTGCTGCTGCTCCTGGTTGTCAAGAGAAAGCTCTGATGAAATCGTGGTAGCTAATCTTGTCCTCCCCGTGCAAACAGAGGCTGATCAGCTAGGGAAGAAACAGCAGTACAAAGGGATGAGAGGTTGCAGGTACTAGCATTTCATTTAAAGGGATATGCCCATGACCGGGTGCTGCTAGAGGAGAGGAAACCTCCACCAGTTACAGACCTCCCCCTGTGGTTCTCAGCCCCGTTAAGAAACCGGGTTTACTGGTCTGGGTGGGGAACTGTGCTAAAACAGCCCTGGTTACAAAGAGCCACGCTGTGGCTGCAAGGGGCAGAAAGGGGGGATTTGTTACAGCAAGCAACCATCATCTCTTCCCAACACCTTGGGGTGTCCTCTGGCCCCCTCAGTTCCCAGTACAATGGGGCACCAATGGTGGAAGGGATCTTTGCTGCAATGCAAATTAACAGCACAATTTAATAGTACCCCCTCCAAATTGGTTGGGGGCTTCGGGAAATGAGATGTTAATAATTTGCTAAGGCAACAAAAATTGAGGGGAATATCACCTTCTCTTGTTTTGTATCTCTTCCTCCCAAGTGGAGAGTGTTTCTGCACTGGCTCTGAAGCTAGCAGCACTTCTGCTGAGAAGCCCTTGCTCCAGGAATATTATATTTCTCTCCTCACGTGTGTGTGTCAGTCCTATTTCTTGCAAGGCAGCCCATGACGTCCTGCAAATCTCGCCGAGGGCACCACAGCTCTGTCGCTGTTAACCAAGTGTGTGTGGTTTCCTAGCCCTCGGGATGGTCTGTGGTGGTGGCAGTGGTGAAGACTCAGCACACCTGCCCTCTCAGGCTCGGAGCACTTCCATGGCAAACCAGCTGGAGTGCTTCAAGTCCTAGTCACTGGTGCTGGCAGGCAGCTTATGACTGACACCTGTGCCTGAGCCTAAAACTGAGATTGGTAGACCCCACCCCCACCCTTTCTCCGTCAGCTGCTGCCTGATGATGGAGCAGCAGCATCCTTGTGCTGTCTGTCTCTCCGCGTGCACAGACCCATCTGAGCTGTTCACGGCCTAGCCCATGCCCCAGCTCCATCAGGATGCACAAAGCAGGTGTCCTTCTACCCGCCTCACCTAGTGCCTAGTGGCAAGGGCACTCCTCTAGACGTAAGGAAACCCTGCTCCACTAAGGACACAATACAAAATACTACCATGCTTGCTGGAGCCCAATTCTTCCTACCCCGGCATGAATTTCCTCCCTAATAGGCTACAGATTCCCTGGGAGGTGGGAGTAGCGGTGACAAATGACCTGACATCAGGAGGGGAAGGACCTGAACCCAGGTCTCCCCATCCCCCTGCAGCTTCAGTCACTGGATCTGGGGTATTAGAAGTGGGTGGATGGCAGTGGATGCTCCTCCTGGGTTTTGTGATAAAGGGCTGGATAAGTCCAGGAGACAGGTTGTGGCAGCCACTCTGGAGTAGGGGAGGTCAGCTTCTGCAGTCCAGTGGGGCGCAAAATGAAGGCAGCTCCACCCCCGGGTGCTGCCATGGGATAGCTCCCCTATGACCTGCCTTCCTCCTTTATCCCCCCTGTTCAGTGCCCCAGAAGGAGAGACACCCACCCCAACCCCATGGTGCCTGGCTTGGGGAAGCTGATGGGGAAAGTCCTGCTAAGAAGAGACAAGCTTTGCCTCTTGAATGCCAAAGCAGGCGTGAGTGGGATGTCTTCTGACCTTATTCACCAGAGCATCGCTGATCGGCAGGTTAAAACGGGTGCAGAGGGCAAGGAACTCTGCTTTGTCCAGGAACCCAGAGCCATCCTTGTCCTGGTGAAGAAAGGCCTCCCGCAGGCTGCCATTGCTCAGGTAGTTATGGTGCCTCATCTGATCCTGAACCTGCGTAACTAACTCCTCCAGCTCCTGCCTGTTCCTTCCAGTTGCAGACAACTCTCTGGAGAGGAAGGGAGAGGGGAAGTGACAGGATGTGGGAGTTCCTCTTGGCAGACTTGATCTAAGTCTTGGTCTTATAGGCCCCAACACTCAAATGTATGGTGGCCACTTGCATTCCTGGTCTGGCCGGACAGTGCACCTAGATGTATGGGCTTGTTCCAGATGACAGGCTCCTCTGACTGCCGGTCAGGACGTTGGGCTGGGATCTGAAGGTGAATTATAGCCCTAATGCTTGACATAACCTTGCTGGAAGACCCTGGGCAGATAGCTCCTGCCTCTGTTTCCCTTCCCACCACCCCTAATCTGTTTAGATGGTAAGCTCTTTGTGGCAGGCGCTGTCTCCTACCATGAAGTCATATAGTGCCAAGCGCAATGTGGCTGGAGCTACTCTGTGCTACTGTAATGCGCTGGGGCTGGAACGCACCAAGCTCAGCTCCGTGATGTGGCTTCCCCGGGGCTGTGGGAGAAAACTGAACTCTGGAGGGGTAGGCAAGAGTTCGCTAAAAGTGAGTGTGAACATGGTGTGGAATAGACTGCCACTGGAGGCAGTTCAAGCACCCACTTTGAATGCCTTCAAGACACTTTTGGATGTTTATCTTGCTAGGATCTTATGATCCCTGCTTGCTTCCTGCCCCTGGGTATGGGGCTGGACTTGATGATCCTCCAGGGTCCCTTCCAGCCCGAATGTCTATGAAACATGGGGCTGGCAGGAAGCACCTGGGCCTGAGAGTCCACAAGCTGTGTAATAGCTGTTTAGTCCAAAGGGATCCACAAAAGCATCCATTTCACCCTCCCCCCTCACAGCATGGCCACCCTAACTCCCAAAAACAGACCCAGGACTGTTAAAACAAAAGATCAGAGCTTCAAAAACAACAGGTGCCAGAGGAAGAGAATGGGAGCCACAAAGGTATGACCAATATGTAGGCTCCTGCTCAGGAGAGATCACCTGCCTGGACAGCAAACAAAAGGACATGGGAGCTCTTGGAAACAATTCGCTCCTCTCCCTCTAACCAGCTTGCAAGCAAATGATGTGCCATAAGGCCTTGTTCTCACCAGCTTCCACCCACTGCCCATCCATGCCTACCTCTCAGTGGCCTGCTTTGCTGCTCGGCGAGGGGCGAAGTGGTCCCGCAAAGACTGCAGTGTTGCCGCAGGGAAAACATCGGGGTTGCTCTCTGCATAATTCAGGACATACTCATCAGCGTCGGTGATGACGAACCTGTGGCCAAACACTGGGCAAAGGAGAACACAGCAGTTTGCACACCTCCATGTCTGGGCAAGGCACTTTATCCCTGTGGGATAAAGTGAGCTCCCTGCTCTGGGGGCTCAGAGTGAAAAGGCTCCTTCTGAACTCACTCAGTGTGAGTCAAACTACTGAGTGAAGGCCTCAGACTTGACCCTAGGGTAAATTTCTATTGAGCACTGGGGAGTTAACACATCTTAGTATCAGGGTGATTTCCCTTGGTGGAGGCATTTATGGTCTGTGCTAGTGGATTCCAGGCCCAATCCAGTCTTGGAAAGCTGGCATGTCATAGTTTCATAGTTGGTAGGGTCGGAAGGGATCTGAGCAGATCACCAAGTCCGACCCCCTGCCATGGCAGGAAAGAGTACTGGGGTCAAACGACCCCAGCAAGGTATACATCGCGCCTCCTCTTAAAGCCCCCCAGGGTAGGAGCCAGCACCACTTCTCTTGGAAGTTGGTCCCAGATCCTAGCTGCCCTGACCGTGAAGTCGCGCCTCCTGATGTCTAGTCTGAATCTACCCTCTGCCAGCTCGTGACCACTATTCCTGGTCACTCCTGGCAGTGCTCGGGGGAACAGGGACTCCCCCAATGCCTGCTGGTCCCCTCTGACTAGTTTGTAACAGGCCACTAGATCCCCCCTCAGCCTTCTCTTCTGGAGGCTGAACAGGTTCAGGTCCCGTCACGTCTCCTAGTAGGGCCTGCCCTGCTGCCCCCGATCATGCGAGTGGCCTCCTCTGGACCTTCTCCATGCTGTCCACATCCCTCCTGAAGTGCGGTGCCCAGAACTGGACACAGGACTCCAGCTGCGGCCTGACCAGTGCCACGTAGAGGGGGAGGATCACCTCCTTGGACCTGCTCGAGATGCATCACGGGACATCAGCTAACCAAATGCCGTGCTCCCTTTTGATACACAGTAAAGGTGGGAGCACCCATGAAGTCAATGCAACCTTGACAATTTACATATATCCCCTGATGAGCTGGACTCTGCATGGCCCAGGGCTGGCTGTTTGCAAACAGCTTATGCAATATCAGCAGCGGAAGCCAGAAAAACCACTGAAAGCCATGAGCTAGTCTGAGATAAGGGTGCTCTGACCAGGCACTGGGGTCACAGCCAGACCCACCTTCGACTGTGGCCCCGATGATGAGGTCAGCTGGCTCGTAGTAGGTGGGATTCTCCACCGTGCTGCCTGGCCTGGGGACTTTGGTCTTCCCGAGGTATTTGCCTCCGATGATCCCTGAATTGCGAACAGGCGGCTCGTAGATGCTGATCATGTCCGTGGAGAGGAAATAGGAGAGGATGAAACATCGATTTCTGTCAATGGGGTCTGGAGACTCCTGGAGAAGTGAAGGGAAGGAATGAGCTGTGAGGTTGGGAAAGGCATATGGGGACATCCAGAGCTAGAGTCCCCCCTCCACTTGGACACTCATAAGTTGCCCCTAATGACCTGCCATAAGCTAAGGATCTAAAATCCTAGGTCATTCAATCTGAGCAGGCCAACAAGAGCAGCAGTGAGCACCATGTACAGTAATAAAACCATGGACACCACAAAATACAGGGTATCAGTGGACCTTTGCAGTAGTCACAGACTGAAGATACTGCTCATGGGCCTCAAAGGGGCAGAAACTGGCCTGCAACAACTGAATTTACTCATCACTTCCACAGGCTCGTTTCTCCAGGCACCAGAAGCGCACGATGCAAAATGATTCCCCACATGGAAGAGGAGGAGCAGAATTAATCTGTGATGTTAATGGACACCTCAGCAAGGCTTGGGTAATTTCCAGCTCCTGAGGACAAGACATGCTCACCCCCTCCCATAACACCAATGGATTTACTTGCTTAAAGTGAAGTTGATCCAAACAGTACGCTGTAACGTTAGGAAATTCCTCCACGTGACAAAACGCAGCCATGGCTAACTCTTCAGATCAGTGATTTTGAACTAGAGTGAAGCAGCACCCTGGGGTGCCTGGAGATCCTATCAAGAGTGCTGCAGGATGCCTCACAATATTAGCACTGTTGGGTGTGGAATATGATTCACCAGAAAAATCCAGAGATTTCAAATAGAAATCTATAGTGTTAAAACCATTCTGACTTGTGGTCTTTTTGAGTTCTTTATAACAGAAAAACTGAATCACAAAAGTGGGGCTGGTCATCTAGTCCAACTCCCTGCCTGAAGCAGGATCAGCCCTAGTCAAACTATCCCATACAAATCCCTTATCTAACCTCTTTGCAAAATTTCCATCAACCCTGACACAACACAAGGCATAACACCCTAACCTGCCACAGGTAAAGCAGGGGGACCACAGCAGCCAGTGTCTTGTTTCTATAAAAAGTTGTTAACACAAGAGACCTCAGGTACAGGGCCATGCCCTCTGCTACACAAGAAGGCAAAAACCCCTGTATTATTTTTCTGTAGTCACAAAACAAGTGAAAACTAAGAGCTAGCATTTCCCAAGGGGTGTCTTATGTCTGAAAAAGGCTGCCTTAGCTTGTAGAAGGGCTTGAATTCATACAGCCGAGGGTAGCATGGGAAATGCCGTTTCCCTTCCAGATGACGACAGGAAGGTGGCAGGGGAAGGCCCCTGTAAAAACTGCTCCTGAATGAAAAGTGCAACGCCCACACAGGTTCTTTCACTAGCTTCCGAGATATCAAATTGCCTCTGGTTTGGCAGCTGGCAGGCCCCGCATAACGGGGCACAGCTGGCTCCTGAACCGGGGACTAGCCTGTGGGAGGAGGAGGAGGGGATGTGTTTGAAGGCAGTCCTGAAAGCAGGCAGTGTGATAATGAGCTGGTGTGGATGTGAGGAGGCCAGATGGCTGTCAGAGGGAAGGCTCCAGCTGCACTGCCGTTCTCACGAGGGCCAGCCCAACGTGTGGTGAAGTCAGTGGGCGCCTGTGTTGACTGCAGTGGGTTTGGGAGCAGGACTGCTTAGTCCTGCTTGGTCCCACTTTTATCCTCCCTTAATATAGGATCGTAAAATCATAGAAGATGAGGGTTGGAAGCAACCTCAGGAGGTCACATCTAGTCCAGCCCCCTGCTCAAAGCAGGACCAGCCCCAACTACATCATCCCAGCCAGGGCTTTGTTTAGCTGGGTTTTGAAAACCCCTAAGGATGGAGCTTCCACCACCACTCTGGGCCACCTGTTCCAGTGTTTTACTACCCTCATAGTGAAAAAATTCTTCCAAATATCTAACCTGAGTTAGATGGGTGCCTGCACAGTTGGATGGGTAAAAAACTGGCTGATGGAGCACACCTGGACAGTAGTGGTGGACGGGTCATACTCAACCTGGCAAGATGTGAGCAGTGGGGTCCCCCTGGGCTTGGTCCTTGGGCCCGCACTGTTTAACATCTCCATCAGCGACTTGGACGAGGGGGTGGAAAGCACCCTGTTCAAATTTGCTGATGACACTAAGATGTGGGGTGAGGTGGACACACTTGAAGGGAGAGAGAGGCTGCAACTAGATTTAGACAGACTACAAAAGTGGGCACACGAGAATAGGATGGGGTTTAATGTAGACAAATGCAGGGTGCTGCACCTGGAGAGGACTCCACAGCACACAGACAGGCTGGGGAGCTCCTCTCTTGAAAGCACAGAGGCGGAAAGGGATCTTGGAGTCATTACTGACTCCAAGATGAACATGAGCCGCCAATGCCAGACCGCAGCCGGCAAGGCCATGCATCCACAGATGCATCTCGAGCAGGTCCAAGGAGGTGATCCTCCCCCTCTATGCGGCACTGGTCAGGCCGCAGCTGGAGTACTGCGTCCAGTTCTGGGCGCCGCACTTCAGGAGGGATGTGGGCAACATGCAGAGGGTCCAGAGGAGGGCCACCCACTTGGTGAGAGGGCAGCAGGGCAGGCCCTATGAGGAGAGACTGCGGGACCTGAACCTGTTCAGCCTCAGCAAGAGGAGGCTGAGGGGGGACCTGGTGGCTGCCTACAAACTCATCAGGGGAGATCAACAGCAAATAGGAAGATCCCTTTTCTCCCCAGCACCACTGGGGGTGACGAGGAACAATGGTAATAAGCTGATGGAGAATAGGTTTAGGCTAGAGATCAGAAGGCAATATTTTACAGAGTGGCCAAAATCTGGAACCAACTTCCCAGGGAAGTGGTCCGCGCCCCTACCTCGCACAAATTCAAAAAGGGCTGTCCCACCTTTTTGAATGTGGGGCCAGATCACAAACTGTTTATCACCCAGTGGGCCAGCGAGCCATATTCGGAGACCTCACAGGAAGTGGTCTCACATCAGGAAGTGATGTCACGTGACCTTTGACACCAATGAAGTTGCAGGAAGCAGCCATGAAATGGGTCTGGAAATGTGCCTGGGGAAGCTGTGGTTTTCAGGAAGTCGGTATGTTTGGTATGGCTCAGGAACAGGACATCCTTTTTCTGTGCGGGGGGTTGGACTAGATCAGGGCCGCCCAGCTGACTGCCTGCAGGCCACGTGTGGCCCACGAAGGGCCAGGATGTCCCCCACCGTCTCCATGGGGTCTGCAAACAGTTACTATGTAGGGCATGGGCCTGGGCAGCCACCTCTCCCACTGCTGTGCAAGGGAGAAAGGCCTGTGGTGGGGGGGGAGGAGTGGTCCATGTCCTGCAAATGTAGCCTGCGTGGCTGAGGATGGGGGTCTGCATGCTGCTGGAGCAGCCCGTGCAGTGAGGGGGTCCTAGGGGCCCACCCCCACAGCGTGCAGTCTGTGCAGCACGTGCTGGTGTCATCTGGGGCCCACGGCGTCACCAGATCTGAACAGCCCTGGACTAGCTTATCCTTGAGATCCTTTACTAACTTGATCATGGTCATTGTGGTTAATTAAATAGAAATTGTAGGCATATACTGCAGAGACATGGAAGAGATCTCAAGGATAAGCTAGTCCAGGGCCGTTCGGATCTGGTGAGGCTGTGGGCCCCAGATGACACCAGCACATGTTGCACAGGCTGCACCACGTGGCGGCCCGCGGGCCATATGTTGGACAAGCCTGGGTTACATGATTACCTGTCTGGGGTCTTGTGAACCCAGCATGCATTCCTGCCTGTGGCAGGGGGTCAGGCTAGATGATCTGTTCAGGTCCCTACTATGAAACTATGATACCTCAACTTCCCTTGCTGCAGCTTGAGCCCATTGCTCCTTGTTCTGTCATCTGCCACCACTGAGAACGGTCTCGCTCCATCCTCTTTTGAACCCCCTTCAGGTAGCTAAAGACTGCTATTAAGCCTCCTCTCCATCTCCTCTTCTGTAAACTAAATAAGCCCAGATCCCCCAGTCTTTCCTCATAGTTATGTGCCCCATCCCCCGAACCATTTTTGTTGCCCTTCGCTGGACTCTCTCCAATCTGTCCACATCCTTTCTGTAGTGGGGGGCCCAAAACTGGACACAGTACTTCAGATGTGGCCTCACCAGTGCTGAATAGAGAAGAATCACTTCCCTTGACCTACTGGCTGTTGGAGCCTATTGGTACACTCCTACCAATGTATCCCAGGATGCCATTCGCCTTCTTGGCAACAAGGGCACATTGCTGGCTCGTATTCATTTGTCCACTGTCACCCCCCGGTCCTTTTCTACAGAGCTGCTGCCCATCCAGCCGGCCCCCCGCCTGCCCCGGTGCAAGGGATTGTTCCATCCTATGTGCAGGACTTTGCACTTGTCCTTGTTGAACCTCATGAGATTCCTTTTGGCCCAATCCTTCAATTTGTCTATCCTCCAATATGGCCGCTTACCATGAAATGAATACTTGAACACAGGGAACCTCTCAGGGAGAGGTTCGTTCTCTGGTTTGCAGAGATCTTCCTCATTCCATTGATTCAGATCAGGACTGGATGGGGCAAAGCAGGAAAAGCCAGCAAAAGACACCCTATCCCCCTGGGTACCAGGAGGTGAAGAAAAGCGCTTACCAGTGTCACCCGGTACCGCAGCACTTTGTGGTCATTCTCTAGCATCTTAATGATGTTTTTCTTGGGGGGTGTTGGAAGGAGGGAGAAGCAATTCTGAAGGGAGTCTTCCAGGAAGCCAAAGCCATTGTAGGGAGGAATAATCTGCACATGTGAGAGAGAAGAGGCAGCAGTGGTTATAAAGACACCCTTCAGGGAGCAGCTTATGGGAAAAGTCCTGTTTGATGAGAATTACATCACCGGGTACCATCAACTAAGGGCTCTAATGTTCTCCCCACCATTAATACCCCAGGGTTTTAGGTACAGGAATCTCAAGCCACTATCTCCATTATACAGCCAAACTGGCTCTGTGCTAATTACTCAGAAAAGAGGCTCAGTAAAAATGGCCCTCTGGGGTCCCAGCTGCATTGCCTCTCCATCTCCAGATTGAATAGCATCAGCAATAAGGTTGGTTTCTCACAACTGCCAGCATTGCAAACTCTCCTGGGGTAACCAGCTGGGTGCTTTTCTTCCAAGCACCACTGCCCACAGTTCTGCAGGTCAGGCTGTGCCCTCAGCCATATCTGGGCAATCCTATTGTGTCAGCAGCAGGAGCCCACAGGTATGGACCTGTCTGAATGATTTGGGCACCAATAGCTAGAGGGACAGAATCCAACTCCCTCCCTCCCAGCTACACCTTACAGCTGCAACTAGCAGGATCAGATGCAGCAAAACTGGCTCTGCTGCTAAAATCAGCCAATACAATTCCTATCTACTGTGATCTAGTGAGCTGAAGAGAGGCATTGCTATTCAAGATAATGTTATCAGAAGTGCCAAAGTGAGCTGGGAATGCACACGTCCTTTCAGAATTGAATGGGAGCCAGGCTCCTAGGTCAGATAGCAGACATAGACATTTAACTCACATGAATTTCAATGATTAATACTGGAAAAACCAATAATAGTCTTATGACTAAATTGAAGATGCATGCTGAAGCTTAAACTAAGTCACAAAAAGCAGCAAGGAGGAGAAAGGGGACCTCACCCACCTTCTGTACTAACATTTTTTCAGGAACTCAAGCAAGATGGAACAGGATCACAGTTAGGTACCTTAGAGATCAAACAGGATTATAGCCATAGTATTTTCCAGAGCGCTAGCAGGTGCCTTTTGCTTGACAGCAGCTGTGTTCATATGAGATGCTTTACTGCACAGTAGACTAACCTACTGCACAGTAAAGCATCACCATATAAACATGGAGGTGCTTACTGCGCAGTAAATTAGTCTATTGCGCAGTAAATTTACTGCACAGCAGAGCCAAATAGCGTTAAATGCATGTGTAGATGTGTCCAGCTAGCATGTTGGTCAGCAGTGATATTAACTGTTGAAGCAGCCACTAGCTATATTTCACTTATGTATGGGATAGGGCTGTCAACAGATACATGTTTTCCCATCTGGCATCTTCTTAACTTCAAACTCATTAACAACACGCAAATATTAGGAGAAGAAAATATTTCTAAGAAGCTTATTGTAACGGCACATTGCAAAGCACGAGGTCTTTGCCACGTTGTGACAAATGGATTACATCCCTTAGCCCCCTGTGATATCTCTCCCGTTACCTGCGGGACCTCCTCTGGTGGTTGCTGCTTTATATGCACTGGCTGGAAGTCCAGGCCAAATCTCTCTTGATAGAAGCGTTGTGTGTATTTGTCACAGTCGTAGATGAAGAAGGTACGTCCCAGGAGGGTGACGGACTTGCCAACTGCTAAATCTTTGGCAGTGAACCACTCTTGCACCTCTTGATCAGAGATCTCCAGCACGCAGCTGGGGAAGGTTTCTGGGTAGGGTAGGGTGGGGTGGAGGAAAAGTCAGGTTAATTAGCCAGAAGTTAGTCTTCATCCTTACACATGACTGGAGATGTGAGAAGAGTCTGCACATGCTTGGCAGGTGTCAACACCTTCAAGGGGCTAGGGACAGAACGGTGATGATTAATTTATTTTTGAAAACAGAAGCAGGACATTAAAGGCTTTAAAACCAAGAGAGATTTCTGTTGGCAATGATGGAAAGACATTTTAGTTTCCAGAAACATTTCTGGGACAAATGATGCAGACTGTACACAGCCACGCACACCTGTACACGGGCACATATATGGCATCCAGCCACTCATGCAGACATCCACATTCAAATGCACTCACTCATGCACACAAGGACACTGGAAATGCCTGCTGACCGAAAGGGGTACACACAGACACAGACTCTTACTCTTCTTGTCCACAAGGGTTTTGGGCAGGTGCTGGCGTTTCATCAGCACTGGGAAGGGATCCCTGCCATCATTCTTCTCATGGATTTCCCGAACCTCCACCGTGTCGTCTGCCAAGTAGTAATGGATGATGAAAGACCGCTTCTCATCACACATGCTGTTGGCATTCTCCCATATGGCATAGAAACGAAGGACCTGGGGATATCAGAAAGCCAGGTGAGGGGCAGGACTCTCAGAGAAAAGCCACAAAAGCACCCTCTCCGAGGAAAGTCATTGCGATTTGGGGCCGTGCATGTAAGTGTTCACCACACACAGACCCCTGTGCAAAACACTTCCTGCACTCCTGGGGCACTGTTTTCAGTGAGTTGCGGGTACGATGGAAGCAGTGCTGAGAAGGGCATTTAGGGGCTGGAGAGGTGTGGCTGGAACCAAACAAGCCTGGCTTTACCAAGGAGCAGCTCCTGGGAGAGGGTACTTATCTGCAAACACTGAGGAGGCACAGAGATTGCTTAGGCTAATTCAGGGAGCATGAGGAAGAGGACAGAGAAAAGAGGACCCCGGCAATTATAGGCCAGTCAGTCTTACCTCGGTCCTTGGGAAGACCTTTGAGAAAATCATCAAGGAGCACATCTGCAAGGGCCCAGTAGGGGAGGTAATGCTCAGGGGCAACCAACATGGGTTCATTGAGGGCAGGTCCTGCCTAACTAACCTGTTTTCTTTTTATGATCAGGTCACAAAGTCCCTGGACGAGGGTGTTGGGGTGGATGTCGTCTTCCTGGACTTTAAGAAGGCCTTTGACATAGTTTCCCACCACATACTCTTAAACTTGGTGAATGCAGCATTGATGCCTACAGTCAGATGGGTGGCAAATTGGCTAGATGGTAGCACCCAGAGTGGTGGTGGACGAGTCGTTTTCAACTTGGAGGGATGTGGGCAGTGGGGTCCCCCAGGGCTTGGTCCTGGGACCTGCACTGTTTAACATCTTTATCAGCGATCTGGATGTGAGTGTGGAAAGCACGCTGTCCACGTTCGCTGACAACACCAAGATGTGGGGCGAGGTGGGTACACTGGAGGGGAGGGGCAGAATCCAGGTAGATCTAGACAAATTACAGAGGTGGGAGGATGAGAATAGGATAGAAATCAACACAGACAAGTGCAAGGTGCTGCATCTAGGGAGAGGGAACCAGCAACAAACCTATAGGCTGGGGAACACCCTTCTTGTCAACACGGTGGCAGAAAGGGATCTTGGAGTCTTTATTGACTCCAGGATGAACATGGGCTGCCAATGCGAGGAAGCAGTCAGGAAGGCTAACCGCACCTTGTCGTGCATCTACAGATGCATCACAAGTAGGTCCAAGGAAGTGATCTTCCCCCTCTACGCGGCACTGGTCAGGCCGCAGCTGGAGTACTGTGTCTGGTTCTGGGCGCCGCACTTCAGGAGGGATGTGGACAACATGGAGAGGGTCCAGTGGAGGCCACTCGCATGATCGGGGCAGCAGGGCAGGCCCTATGAGGACGCTACAGGACCTGAACCTGTTCAGCCTCCACAAGAGAAGGCTGAGAGGGGATCTGGTAGCCGTCTACAAACTCACCAGGGGGAACCAGTGAGAATTGGGGGTGGCTCTGTTCCCCCAGGCACCACCCAGGGTAACGAGGAATAACAGCCACAAATTTTTAGAGAGAAGGTTCAGGCTGGACATCAGGAGACATTACTTTACAGTTAGGGCTGCCAGCCTCTGCAATGGGCTCCCAAGGGAGGGGGTGCTCTCTCCTACCTTGGGGGTCTTCAAGAGGAGGCTGGGCAAATATTTGGCTGGGGTGATATGATCCAAGCACCCATTCCTGCCTGGGGCAGGAGGTCAGACCTGATGATCTGTTTAGGTCCCTTCCAACCCTAAGTACTATGATACTATGATACTATGATACAGTGATTAAAGGAACATCAGGGAAGGTACTTTGAGAAGTATTACTATGTGGGACAGTCCTCCAAGGGCCTGCTGTGCTGGGCAGAGACTCAGGGACTTTGGGGCAGTCTTTGGGTCTACAGGGCTTAACATGTTCCTAAAATGAAAGGGAAGTGCTAGAAGATCGAATAGGCAGGGGTTAGTGGATTGCGGGCTCCCAACAAAATCCCTCTAGATAGGGGGTATCGGTATTTGCCCAAAACACTCTGCTCTGTTCCTGCTTGTCTATCCTGCTGTGGAAGAAGGGAGTGGGCTCTGCTGAGTCACTGAGGCAGGTGAATGGTTACCCCAACTTAACAGAATTTGAACAAAAGAAAAGGAGCATCTCTGGGATGGCTGAGAAAGAAATTCTAGAGACAGCCAAGTGTGGGGAGAAGACGGGAGAATTTGTTATCTTTTTGTCCTTGTCTTTATTAGCAAAGCCAGACCCCCGGAAAGGGGCGAGTTTAGACCCTGCACAACATGTGGACTGTCTACTGAACAGGGTGGGAAAAGGCATTTGCTCACAGGCATCCACAAACACGTGCTCAGGCAACACCTTGCCTGAAACATTTTGCCCTGTCGACAGGCAATGACAGGTGGGTTTAGAAACTACCCACCCCAGGGAAGGCACCTAGGACTCACTCACCTGCTTGTCGTAGGTGAGAAACTGTTTGAGCTGGTCGAAGTCAGACGGCGTGACGTACTTGCGCAGAGGCATCTTGCGGAGTTCTGTGTAAGGGTCAAAAATCATCTTCTCCGGAGGGTTCAGTTCAATTCCTTGGCTCTCCAGGAACACCTAGGGGAAGTCATCTGAGCCATTAATGTGTTGTCACAAGGCTGCAAGCTCAGTGTTTCCACATCACCTGGCACAACAGGGCTGGGGCCTCCAAGTGCGACTGTAATAACAACAGAATTATTAATAAATGACAAAGGTTTTACGTTGCCCCTTCAGTTCCAGTGATTGTGACTTAAATCTCACACCTATTTGTGTGCTAAGATGAGCCAGGACTCAGCTGAATTTAGAAACAGGCTCAGACCAAGGAATGAGACTATTCTGCTAGGAACGAACCTACATGCATAGTGGGGAAGGGTCCTAGCAGACTTAATCTCCAGCCCTTAGGATTCTCCTGTCCATTTTGCTCTCTTTGCCATTTACACACCTGTGTGAATGGGTCGCAGTCAACTATTCGGAAAGTCCTGCCATACAGGGTGATGTTCATGCCCCGATTCAGGTCCTTCCAGTGATAATGGTCCCCGCAGTCATTCTTGGGAATTCGCTGGCGTTTGATGAACTTGCCTTGGGGGATGCCTGAGTTCTCCACGATGGGCTCCATGACAGACATGCTGTCATCTTCCAGGAAGTAATAAATAGCCACTTGGCGAATCCGGTAATGCTCTTCTGCGGATATAGGGACATCTTCCTGGAAATAAGCATCGAACTTCAGCACCTGCAACATGGGTAAAGATGGGAAAAGCACACAGGACAATTATTTGAATGATGCAATTAACATATTGGTTGTCAAAGCATGACGCAAATGGTAGCAAGATAAAGTGAAGCATGCCGCGAGAGACTGTGACTTATGCTACCGTTCACAGTCTAGTCTTGGACTAACTGCAGGAACATCAGCGAGTCTTTTACTGATTGCACTGTGAGTCCTTTTACTTGTTGCAAGGTCCTTGGTTGCATGGGTTATCCAGGGACTGAATGCAACTCCCTGGAATGAATATAGCATCTGTCCTCTAGGGCTCTCCAAGCACTTTACAAACCCAAGGCCCGTGCAGCTCAGCACCCAACTCGGGAAACCATTTTTGAGCTGTCTGGCTTGAAGACAGCCCTGTATTCTCATGGAAGATAGACTTTCCCTCACTCTCCTGCACTTGCCTCCTCTCTGTGGCACTAATGCCAGAGCCAGATTGCACTTGGGGAGGCAGAAAAGGAGGGTTGGTGAGGGCATGAGGATATGGCTCATTTTTGGGTACATTTATCAAAGGTTCATCACCATCCCAGGGAAGGCTCCCTCTGCAATCCACTAGTAGGTGAATGCCCTAAATGAGGATGGGGAGTAGCCCGGGCCATGAACTTCTCTGCTCCTCCACACCATCCACCCAGTTGGTTAGGCCTCTGGTTTGGCATATGCCGCTCCTCCTCCCTATCCTGTGTGCTGAGGAGATCAGAGAGGGATTATCATTGCTGGGGCACAATCCCTCCCCAACCTTGAAGGGAATGGCTGCTGCTCTGCACTGTTTTTCTTGGGCAAGTGACTTACAGACACACTGGCCCTTGGCAGATATGCTGATGAAGCCTAATGACAGAAGCAGAAAGCAGTGGGACAGGCATTAGGGTACCATGGGGACAGCATGGTATAAAGAGGTGAGAACAACTCCACACCTTGACTTCTCTGATACACAATCTGTTACAATTGCAGCATCAGAGAGAAAAGTGGGGGACAAGGTTTTCAGGGACATGGTCATAAAACAGAGCTTTCAGAGGTCATCCAAACTCTCCTTAAACTCCTGCTGGAATCATCCTCGTGTAGCCCATGGGAAGGTCTCATAACATTTATATAACCTAATCCTCTTCCCGGGCAAAGCAAGCCTCTCTCACTCCGGGCCTCAACCGTCTATGACTAAGGACTCTGGCATTGGAAAAATATGCTCTGCACTGTCTGTTCCCTGGACTTCCCCGTGTTTGGCTAACAGTGTCCTGGCCTCAGGCTCTCTGTACCTTTTTGTCGAAAGCCACGTGAGCTGGAACGAAGTCAGAAGGTGGAGCCTGCTTGGCTTTGCCATAGGTCAGTGTGGGTCTCTTGTTGGCCAGCTCATCCAATTCTGCCTGCGACAGCTGGTTCACATAGAGTCGCTCCCCGCCTATCCCTACGGTGGGGTGTCGGGAATAGGCATAACCATTCCTGTAGCCCAGAGTCTGGGAGCGATGGAAAGAAGTTTTCTGTGGAAAGAAATCCAACAAGTGACATCCAACATGCCTGAGACATGAAGCAACCCTTCTCTCTGACACACAGCTCAGGGAAAGATGGCATGGCAGTTCACTGGACCCAGTGGCGACAGTGATTTACAGTTTAACATCTCATGCTGCCACATAGCCAGAGGAAGTGACAGGGGGCTGGTCATGTGGTGAAGTCACTGGAACAGGCTCGATGCCTGGCTCTGCCACAGACATCCCAAACAGCCTTGGGTGAGTCACTTAGTACCACATCCTATGCCACACTGCTTAGGTCCCCAAAAAGCTATGCATGCAAAAAGTGAAGGAGAGGTCTCCCTCCTCCTCACTGCTTTGGGTGACTTAGTCGGAGGCCTACGAGGATGCTGTACTGCAAATGCAGCCAGACCCATGATTTCTCAAGGACTCGAACCAGGTGGAATCATCTAAAAGCAGAACTGGAACGGACCTCTTGTCCAACCCCCCTGCCGGAGGCATGATCACCCCTATCCGAAGCATCATCCCATATAAATCCTTGTCTAACCTATTACTAAAGCTATATAATCGGCCCCATCACACAGCTATAAGGCACAGCACCCTAATCTGCTGTAAAGCAAGGGGACACAAGGCAGTCAGTGTCCCATCACTGCAAGGGTTGTTTAAATACGCTCAAGAGATCCCAGGAGGAGGGTCAGGCCCTCCACTACGGAGGAAGGCAAAACCCTCCACAGTCCATAGCAATCTGACCAGGGGGTAAAATATCTTCCTGACCCCAAATGTGGTCAGTCTGTCTCTGAGCAGAGGGGCAAGACCCTCTAGTCAGGAAGCTCAGGGTTTTAGTCTGGGTTTTAACCAGCATGAGCACTGGCACCCCCAGTCAACATCTTCAGCCTTAGCTGCATCCAACGCAATGCAATACTTCCAGATTTCTCATCCCCCTTTATGTTACTTAACTCTTAGGGAACAAAAACCACAGTGTTTTCCTCCCTCCTCCTTGCTTCAGCAGATACTCAAAGGCTGCATTAGGGATCTTCAAGTGAACCTTAGCTGTTCCACTGGCCATCTCCCGAGTATGCCCGAGGGAGACAGACCCATTCACGCAGTGTGTGCGCAAGCATGGTTAAAGGCTGTGCAAGCAAAAAGTTTGGCGAGGAAGGCAAAGACACCCAGTAGAGCTTTATTTGTTGTGTCCATAAATCTCTCTGCCTCCGTGCACATGGCACACGTCGGCCTGCCCCTAATGCTGCAGCAGAGACTTGTTATTCTTTGCTGCCCTTATCCAATTTGGGGTGCAGCTTCCTTAGGGCAGCTTGCCTTTCGGGGACATTAGCTCTGCCAAGCTGCATAGTTCTGAGCCACTGTTCCTATTCAATATGCTTACCGATGGTTCAGGGAGGTGACAAGGACACATAGCAAGTCAGTGGCAGGGCTGTGGATGTCACCCAGACTCTCACCCCAGTCCTGAGCAATGGGGGTGCTGTCTGGGTGGTCCTGCTCTGTTTGGGCTAGCTGAAGAAACAATGGGAGGAGATGGGAGTCCACCCACTGTGACATCCCACCCCCCACAACTGCAGGCACTGAAGACAATGGGATGTGGCCAACTAATCCAACTGGATCCTCCTTCAGAGAAAGGAAAAGCAAAGCCAGGCCCTTTGGGATACCTTAAGACTTCCCTTAGGGTCCTATGACTGTCATTGCATAGCACATGGTGGCCTCTACGTATTTGGAGGAAAACTCAAAAGGCCCCTAACACTTAGTCTAAAGGAGAATCTCAGTATAGAGCCTTTGACACACACCGTCCCCTTTCCCGCAGCAGCAGTGGACACTTTCCTCAAATGCACTGAGAGAACGTGCCTTTCCAGCCCCAAATTAGCAACCAATCCAGTCTCATTCACACGAACAAGCCTCCCTGCCATTCAGGCCCATAATTCGATTTATAACCTCACTCGCATGTCTCATTACCCACTTTCGCTTAAAAAACAACTCTGCCAGCAGTGACAGAGCAGCAGCAAAGCCTGTTCAGGTGAAAGCAAGAGGTTTCACAGACAAGATGCTAACAGCCCTGCGTAAGTATGACACTGGCCACAAGACAGGCAGTTTCCTGCTAAGAAACCAGCATCAAAGCCAAAATGAGGAGCTTGTAGAAGATATTCCAAGCAAAGTGGAGATGCATTATTTTAACCCACCTGGCACTGCTCCTCCGGTAAGGCTCAGTGGGGGTCCCAGTTGGGTCTGATCCTTTGGCCGTAGGCACAGATGACTAGCTTTAAGATAGCCCAGGATTTGCCTCCCAGGAAGGGGGTTTTGGCACGGACATTGGGTGGGCACAGGGTCCTTGTCCTGCAAGAATCAGGCTCCCCTGAGGGAAGTCACACTGACACCGGGCTCCTCTCACTGGGAGAGTCGATTCCCATGAGCACGGCCAGGACCCCGTTTCCAGGATTATGGGGAAGGGGGAATGGGGCTTCTGTCCTAAGTACGGGGACCCCCCCAGAGCAGGGGTGTTTCACCTCCAGCCACAGACCAAATCCAGCCTGCACAGCCACAGCCCCCGGCCTGCGGCGCTCCCCATGGGCTGGGAAATTTAGCGGTGGTGGGGAAGCGATGGCAGCGAATACCTCCACCCTGCCCCACGGCCAAATCCCTATGGCCTGCTGGAGCCCACAGCTAGATCAG